CATGCCCTGGGTGGCTTCCACAGGTGTCCCCAAGGAAGGAGGACTGGAAATGTCCTCTGGGGCTCCTGTGGAAGTTGAGAGAACTTGTGAGGGAAGTTGTAGAAGCTGGAACATGTCTTGTCTTTCGTGTGTGTGTGTGTGTGTGTGTGTGTGTGTGTGTGACAGTCTTACTCTGTTGCCTAGGTTGGAGTGTAGAGGGGTGATCACAGTTCACTGCAGCCTTGGCCTCTGGGGCACAAGCAATCCTCCTACCTCAGCCTCCCCCTGAGTAGCTTGGACTACAAGTGGGCACCATCATGCCCAGCTAATTTTTTATTTTTTGTAAAGATGGGGGTCTTGATAAGTTGCCTTGGCTGGTCTCGAACTCCTGGGCTCAAGTGATCTGCCCACCTTGGCTTCCCAAGCTGTTGGGATTACAGGTGTGGCCACCGTGCCCAGCCAGGAACATGTCTAAAAGGGGATTTCTCACCTGGGCAATGTCACTGTGTTGGCTACTCACACACTCGAGAGGTTGCTGCTGGAGGCCTACCTGGAACAAAGGTCCCAGGGCTGAAACACCCACAGAAAGACCAGGTGCCACTGGCTACCTCCCCAGTGGGTTTTCCTTTGGTGCCTGCGGACCCATGTGCACAGGGCATCCCTGCTCCCAATTCCCCTGAGCAGGGTGCCCCCAGTCCACTGATGTTACTGGCCCAAGAGGGTATGTCCCCACCTTCCCCTAACAGGGGCAGATGACAGGGAAAGCTGCACAGGGCTGTCATCCAACCAAGCGTGTGGTGAGAGTACCTCGGAATTATTTCACAGTTTCCTGCTGGTTTTAGGAGAAGAGATTCTAATCTAAATTATGTTCATAAATTCTAAATTATATTCATAATTCCACACTCATAGCTCCATGGGGCGTAAGAAATGTAATTGTTAGTGGCTTCAGGTGAAAAGAAAACCCACAACCCTCCCACAAAGCACAGCACACCACAGATGTGAAACTTGATAACGCTCTTTCCTTCTCTCCGAGGTCTTGGCTCCCAGCTGACCATGGCATTCATTATGAGGCAGAAACTACCTGTCCTTCTAGCAGGCAGAAACTACCATCCATTCCAGACTTTGTGAGCAAGTCTAGAAAACAGAGTTGCTGAGATTCGTAAGGTGATCTGGCCAATTCTGCAAGATATGCAGAAACCTTCTAAATCTCCCCTAAACAGAGAGGGAGTTAGCAGCTATTTCTTCCACTAATAGCAGAAGATGGAGTCGAATTTATAGGACCCTAAGTCAGCTGAATTCAAAATTAATTTTTTTTTTGAGACAGAGTCTCGCTCTGTTGCCCAGGATTGGGGTACAGTCTGTGATCTTGGCTCACTGCCACCTCCGCCTCCCAGGTTCAAGCGATCCTCCTGCCTCAGCCTCCCGAGTAGCTGGGGTTATAGGCACCTGCCACCACACCCGGCAATTTTTGTATTTTTAGTAGAGATGGGGTTTCACCATATTGGCCAAGCTGGTCTTGAACTCCTGACCTCAGATGATCCACCCACCTCAGCCTCCCAAAGTGCTGGGATTATAGGTGTGAGCCCCCGCACCCGGCCGTTATTAATTTAATTCATAACATCTGACTTCCTAGCAGTCAGGTGTTTGAGCAGAGCTTCCTGACCTGGCTGAACTGGTCAGAATCACTTGGACAAAACTTACACAGCTAGTCCTGTCAGATTCGGTAGATCAGAGGGTGGAGGGAGTAGGAATCTGTATTTTTAGCAAGGCCTCCAGGGGATTCTGACACAGAGAAATCCAGAATTGAGTATCTGGCTGTCACATCTATCTGGAGGCAAACGCCTTTTCTTCACATTCTCCCTCTGCCTCAGCCTAAGTCCTAAAAAATAAAGGCAACAAGTAAATAAAGACAGTTTTCAAGATATTCATGGAATGACTTTTTTTTTTTTTTTACATTTTTTCAACTAGTTAGGACAAAAACATTACAACGATTGACTTCTTTCATTTAGTTACATAAATAAAATTTTTATAAATATCTCTTTATAAACAATATAAATAGCTTTACAACATAAATACATTTATGCATGACATGAATTTACAAACAGCAATGTTTTACAGCTGGTTCTGTCAGTCTCTTAAAAACTGTCCCTTGTCATCAAGTCGGTGTAGGTGTGTGTGTTTCATGTATATAATATATATATAATATATAACTTTTTATTTTTCATTAAAAAAAAACAAATAATAAAATCACAACCCCCTCCCCAAATAATAATAAAACAGCTGGTGTTGTGTATTCCCAGTACCAGGAAAGAAAGAAAGAAAGAAAGAAAGAAAGAAAGAAAGAGAAAGAAAGAAAGAAAGAAATGTAAAAGCCACATTGCATTGGAGGTGTTTCCAGATGCCGGAGCTGATGACCAAAGGTGACCTCAGCACAACGGAGCCAGTTTCCAATCCTGAAACACAGAGTGAACACAGACACTCAGTTCTGGCCCCTTAGCTGAGAAATCCTAGCAGGCAGGGTGGTTCTAGAACCTTTCCTCCCCTTCCCCTAGCAGCTTGAGGGATGTCCCCTGACCTCCACACCCCCCAACCCACCAGGCCTTCCTGCAGAGGGGAGGGGCCTCCCCCTACACACTCCCCAGGCCCCTTCTGCTTTGCTGCCCCAGCACAGGTGGAACCAGAGTGTCTGCAGCCCTCCTTTTTCCCCCAGTCTAACCACAGGCCTTGCCCTTGGCACTCAGGGAGGCGCAGTGAGAGAAAGAGAATGGAAAATCCCCCATCCTTTTTGCTACAACACAAACCCTCAGTCAGTGCTCGCCCTGGGTTCGTGTGTCTGAGTGACTGTGGATGGAAGGAGAAGGGAGACATCTCAGGATCAGGAATCCTGGGCTCAAATCTCTACTCTGACATTGACTCCCTGGATGACCCTGGATAGCTGGGAGTGTTCACCCATAAAATCGGATAATAGCCACCTCCCAGGGCTGGCTTTTGGATTCAACAGGGAGCCTCGGATTGGGCATCGGCAGTGTCTGGGTCTCAGCCGCCACCCAGTAAACGGCACCTCCTTCCTTAGCTGCTTGTGCAGAGAAAAGGGTGTGGGTCCAGGTCCCCTTCAGAAGCAGAGGAAATGGTGTCTCACACCAGCCTTGGGGAAATGCATAGTCATGGGCTCTGGGTTGAGCGTTGTCAGGGAAAACTCCCTGCTAATGGGTGTGTGGGTGCCCCGGGGCCCAAGGAAGGTGGCCTTCTGGGGCATTCAGTGCTCTCCCAAAGGACAGCATGCACAGAGGGGGCCTGGGCCAGAATGGCTTGATGAACCCTCCCCCACTCCCTTCTCTGGCTCTGCCATGAGTTTACACAGATGACAGCTGTCTGTGATGTTGCTGGGCCCCAGGGGCAAAGTATTCATTCAGGTTTCACCCACAGCTGGTCTCTGTCATTAGCATTTTACAATCAACACCTAGAACCATCAGCGACCATCATTATGGTGGCTTAGAGCCCGAGTCACCCCCTGCGTGGAGAAACGGCCACAACCTCAAAGAGTTTTCATTAATGTGACAAATACAAGCTGTCTTTCCCTTTAACCCCAGTGATATATCCTGGGCATCACCACCAGGAGCCTGCAGGAGGGATGTTCTGCTCTCTCACTGGGAGTGGGGGGCAGTGAGGGTAGGGTTTTTATTTTTCATTTAAAAAACCCAAATAATAAATCCACAGCCCCCTTCCCAAATAATAATAAAACAGCTGGTGTCGGGCATAAGCCGGTGTTGAGGATGTTGATGATAAGTGTTCATCTATGCTAAGAGAGCTAGTAGGAGATTAATGAACCCCCCTGATCAAAGGAGTTGAGAATTCTTAGCAATGTGGATTCCTCCTACACAGCATCTTTCACTACCCGTCTGGTCATCACTTGGTGACCACAGACAGCCAGGCCCAAGAACAAGGCCCCTATGGGAATGCGCATTCCAGGTACGAACCCATGGAAGATCGCTAACATTTGTTCCAGTTCTGAAGTTTGAACTTGATGCTTAAATCAAACTGAAAATTTGAGGCCTCAGACTCCGTCTCTTTGTTGTTTAGACAGGAGAGAAGAGAGGAAAGGCATTCCAAGGGTAGCTACTGAAGGCTGGTCCCCAAGTGTCAGAATCATTTTTCTCCCTGTGCAGGGGAGAGTCAAGATCACAGACAACTGCAGCCTTTGCAGAACTGGGGAGAAGCCCACAGCCGAGGGAGGTCTGGCTGCAAAGAGAGGAAGGGCACTGGTTAAAACCTAGGGCAGGTGGGAGTGGCCATGGGCTAGGGTGTGCTGGTTTCTCTGGTCATTGACAAATATTTCTGAGTCTGTAGGGGGTGCAGTGGGTCCTAGAGTGCCTTAGGCCAGCACTTGGCCCTTAAGCTGTTCAATACGGGGAGGTGAATGGGTTCACAAACTGTGAAAAAGTGTTCTGTACTGTGAAAAAGAGAGAGTGTGCTGGAGAGGAGCTCTTGTTTCCCTCCGGGGGAAGACCCAACACTGACAAGGGTTTCTGGGGTGGAGACAGCAGCTTTCCCATGGCCTGGGATGGGACAGTCAAAGTGTGGGACAGGCAGTGGCAGCTGCTGAGCTGGAGGCAAGAAAGGGAGAAAGCCGAGTGAGCCTGATCCTAATGCACATGACTGTCAATGTCAGAGGCTGGGATGCTGTTATTCAGTGGGCACAGGCAGGCGGCAGGAATAGAGAGGAGGGAAAGAGGAGAGGTGAGGCTCTCTGCAGCAGTAAATTACCACCATGCGGCACCCGGCAGGGGGTGACGGTAGGGCAGAGGTTTCCAGCCCTAGTGCGGGGTGAGATCCCACACCAGAAACGGAGCCCAGAGCACCGGTTGGGCGGGGGACAGGGTTGGTGAGGGACTCTGGGACATGTCGCGTTTGAGGGTGGGGCAAAAAATATTTACTTTAGTATCTTTCCTATTCCCTGAAATAGTGCCACAAGCACTGAGATTCACCCCTGAAGCCACCGGGCTGCAGCTCCCCGGACAGACCAGTTTGCCCACTGCCTGGGTTTAGAGAAGGGACAGGACCCTGGCTAGACCAGTTTGCCCACTGCCTGGGTTTAGAGAAGGGACAGGAATCGGAGTGCCTCAGGCAGAAGGGCGCCCTGACGGTGCCAACAGAGGGCTACTCTCGCTACAGGGGGCATGGTGGCCGGCAGATGATCAATGTCCCTTGGACTTGTGGGTGTAACCTTCCTTCTCTGCTCCCACAAACCCATGATCTCCCCTCAATTCCCCCACCAGCTGGCCAGCTGGGGCCAATGCTGCTAGTTCAGCTAAGGTGCAGGGGTGGGTGAGACGCCACCAAGCCTGTTTCTGCTTCTCTAGAAGAAGCCTGGTGGGTTCAACCAGGCTGAGCCATTTCTGACCTTGCCAAAGTTCCCCGATCACTTTATCCTTCGCTTTCTTTGTCTGTAAAGGGGGATAATAAAGGGGGTGGCCGGCAAACGCCTGGCACAACTTGAGCAAAGCCGGGCCGGGCTGGGGCTGGGCGCGGGGTCGGCGGTACTCACCGCCGCCAGGGGGCGCCGCACTAACATCCCAGGCCGCTCATGGAGCCGATTCGGTCCAGCTTGAGGCCGAAGCAGCCCTTGGACAAGCCCTTCTTGTTGGCTCCTTTGTATTTGCGCGCGTTGGGGTGCTCGTGCAGAAGGCGGGCCCACGCTGCCCGCGACTTGGTGTCCACGCGCAGGTCCCGGAGCAGTCGCGATCGGTCGCCCTTGAGGTTGGCGCCCCCGCCCCCGGGAGCCTTGTCGCCCTTCTTCTGACCGCCGCCCGCAGCCTGCGGCTCGGCCAGCTCCTCTCCCGGCGGGGTTCGCGGGACCTGTCCGAAGAAAGAGTGGGCAGGTGAAGGGACGCGCGGCTGCAGCACGGGGGACTTTGATGCTCCAGCCCCACGCGCCCGCCGGCGCGGGGTGTCCCTCCTGAGCCCAGAGCCGCCCCCACCGATGCCGGCCAGCTTGGCCCCGCATCCACCTGCCACGCGGCCGCCTTCTCTGCTCCCTCCGGAAGCCCCCTGCCCTCCCCTCCTTTGCTGCTCGCCCGGCAGGCCACGCTGGGGCAGGGGGCTGCGCATGGGCCGGCGTTCTCCGGAGGCTGGGAGAGTTGACCCCCGAGTCCGCGCTTCGAGGGCTCCCCGGGTCTCGCCCACGCGCATCTCGGAGGAGAGAGCCGCCTGCCTTCCCTCTCTCCTGGGTCCTGCGCGCCGCATTCTCCAAGCCCCCAGCCTACCACGACTCTCTCAGGCTCGGCGTCCCCACGACAGCACCCACCTTCGGCGGCGCTCCGGGCTTGGCTTCGGAGGGCCGGAGTGAGAGCAGTGTGAGCAGCAGGGCGCAGGCCAGCAGCTGGGAGAGATGCATGGTGCCGCTGGGGTCTAGGGGCGCAGACGGGCGGCAGCGAGGGCGCGCGGGTCGGCGGGCAGACCAGCAGGCTGGTGCGGAGCAAGCTGGCTGGGCTGCAGGGCGAGCAGGCTCCCAGTGCTGCGCGGCGCCGGCTGGGTGCGCTCTGAGCCCGTGACTCCCCTCGCGCCTTTATAATCCAACCTGCCGCTGATGTCATCCTCCCGCCCACCGGGCTGCCCGGGCCAATGACACCACGCACGCGGCCGCGCCGAGGGCCGGGAGGGGGCCGCGGGGGCTCCCCTCCCTTATCCCACCCCGGAGGGATCCCGCGGTTCTGCCGGCTCGCTCCAGGCTGCACTTGGAGCTGCAGAGCGGCGCGCACAGGGGAACTCCATTTGCAGCGAGCGCGCGCCCTGGCCTGATGAGCATCCGTGCGCCTGGTGCCCTGTGCACCCAGTGGGTCCTCAGCACACTCACTCTACCTAGAAGGGATCTATAGCTCTCTTTGCAGGTGCAAAGACAGGCTCAGAGGAATGAAATTACTTGCCCAAAGTCATACAGGCAGAAAGTTGGCGCTGCCCGAAATCCACGCAGCCCTGCTGGTCGCCAAACTCTTCCCTGGGCACCTGACAGCCGCGGGATGGGCATTGCAGCTCCGCCTCTCACCTGCTCTCCAGGGCGGGAGCGCAAACCACAGAGATGTCGTTAGGTTGGGGAGGTAGAGGATGGGGTTGGAGGACTGGGGTGGGAGGCACAGGGAGAGCGGGGTTCGCCTGGGCCGCGGCGGGGAGCGCAAGTCTTCCGCACTGGAGAGTGCAAGCGTGTCGCCAACCTGAGTGTTTGAGCGCGAGGCGGGAACGAGGGGACTGCGAGCGCGGAACCAAGATATTCATGTTCATGCGTGTGCTCGGCGGCATCGTGTGCTCGCCAGTTATGGCTCTAGGTTCACGTTCAGCCGGTTTCGGCTACACAGAACGTCCCCGGGTCTGACTCCGCTGGTGAACTCGGTCTGTGGGAACAATGCGCACCTGACCTTGCCTGCACCCACGCGAGGATCCGCTGCTGGGAGAAGCCCGCTCCAGTATCCTGTGCACTTTCACAGGCTGGGGAGGGAGCTTCCTAACCAGCGGCCCGGTCCAGCCTCTGCCAGCCGTGACAGGTGGTCAACTTCCCACTGTTGACTGTAGAAAAGTCCTCGTGGCTCTTGGGACACGGCCACATATCCCTACCACTCACAAACTTGCTCTTCTTGCACTGGGCTTCTTGGTCCCTTGGGCACTAAGGAGTGTGGTGGGCACTTGGGCACTGCAGTGTGGGCCGCAGAGGCGGAGAGCCCAGATCCCCCAAATTGAGTGAGGTGCACGAATCTATGACTGGCTGCTGCCGAGCAGGACGCAGGCTGGAGAGAGAACAAATATTGCCACAGGAGTGCAGTGGCTGTCCCCAGGCGTGAAGAGGATTCTGCGGAGACAGTAGCCCAGACGAGCTTTTCCAGGGAGAGGAAGCTGTGCCTGAGGCAGGAAGGCAGCTGGAGTGAAGAGGGGTTTTGAGCACCAGGTTCCTCCAAACCTCCCTCTTCCCTCCGTGGTAGTGAGCCTGGTCCCAGAGCTGCTAAGGCAGCAGCATCGTGGTCTGCTCTGTAGGCCCTTTGCTCAGGCTACCCCTTCCCACTCTCATGCCCTGAGGCACAACATTGGAGCAACCACTCCACAGGTCCTTTTGCTTAGGAAACAGCTAACACCTGAGGTCTGAGTTTGGGGCAGCAAAGTTTCCTGATCTCCAGGAAGATCCAGACATCAACAGGGCACCTTTTGTGGGTTCTGGTGAGTTGACTCACCACCTCCACGCAGCCCCCCAATTCCTCTCTGGGCTAACACCCACAGAGTGGCACCACTCTTTCATTTGAGGAGAAAGGAAGAGAGGAACGAGAAGGCGGAATAGGGAGGGGTATCCAGGTGGGCTGTGAAAGTTCCCTCTGCTTTTTGCCTGCTGTGCAAAGAAGGTTGTTACTATTTGGAACTTCTCTGACACTTACTTTCTTTATGCCTGTTTAAAGAGCCAGGCAGAGCCACACAGATTGACTCCAGAGTCAAGCACTGGGCTGGTTTCCAGGGGCCAGCAGTACATCCTCTAAGGCCTTGTTAAGGGCATGTTGGAAGCTTCTGCTGTTCATGGCTGCTTCCTTCTGCCTGAATGTCCTTAGGCTGGTCCTTCCTGTCTTCTATGTTCCTGGATACATTCTCATCCAGATGATTGCCCAGTGACTATCTAGGTCTCCTCTCTGTTTGAGCTTTGAGGCTAAATTAGTAAAACTGACACCCCCAACCTACTGTGGCAGAGCCAATTCCCTGGACTCACCTTTCCCTCTTTGGAAGGGAAATCTGGTGAGCTGCCACTCCTGACCACTGGGCGGTGGTCATCTGCAGAGGGAGGCTTCCCCAGTGCAGGCTGTGGATCAGTTTCTACTTAGCTGGGGCCTGGGAGGTGGGGTGGGTAAGAGTCAGAGGCCCGGGCTGGAGGGACTGCCGGGAGGTGCGTCATCAGCACGTAACTGTCTTGGAGATGAAGATTTCCCCTCTCCCTTCGCTTTCCTTGCCTGGGGAACTGCAGAGGAGGCCCTCTCTTCCTCCTGAGCCTAGAGTTGGAACTCAGGCCCCTTCTTGCTGCTTTTCCCTCATGAAGTCTGCTGCTTCTGCCCCCAGGCCCCAGGGGCATGGCCTGGGAAAGTTGAGCTCACTGAGCAGCTGAATATGAGCTATTCAAATCATTTTATTGACTGCTCAATTTTCAATGTCCTCCTAATGGCAAAAGAGGGAGATAAGGTCCCAAGGCCCCAGTAATTCTGTAAGGAATCCTGTCATTTTCACTGATCTCGCTGATCTCCCGGTATCTCTGAGCATCCCTGAAGCCTGCAGGGTTCCATCCCAGCCAGGAAGAACCCCCCAGGAGAGACACATGAGCTTTGTAGGCTGAAAAGGACAATGACAGGGAAGGGGACAGCTCAGGCTGAGGCCACCCAAGGAGGGCTCCACCTCCAGCCTGGACTAGCAAGGTGGGCTTCCTGGAGAAGGAAAAGTCTGTGCTGAGCCAGGAAACACAGGAAGAGAAGGGAAGAGAAGAGGAAAACCTCGATAGAAAACCAGGCTAACAGTGGAATGTACTAGAGTCAGGCCTAGAGGGGTTCTGTTTGAGAAAAACAAAATGAGACACCTCACTAAAGGCAACGCAAAGGGCAGGGGAGGCCGGTGAGACTGCAGAACCCCACGTGCCCAGACCTAGGGAGGGGTGGAGTGCTTCAGGCAGGGGTGCCCAGAGGCAGGCTGGGGAGAGGCAATTCTGAGGTCGGTGGTGTTCTGGAGGCAGGGGGTGTGATGGAGAGAGGGGAACCTGCTGAGCTCTTGGGGGTGGGAAGGGCAAGTGAGCTTATTGGGGGTGCCTGAAGATGGGGCAAGGGAAAGGGGGTCAGCTAGGTGTGGGGGGAGTGGGAGGGCGCAGGAAGTGGGAGACAGAGCCAGCCTGAAACATGCAGAACCTTCAGTGTCAGAGGGTTGCATGGGTGAGTCCAGGGTGTCGGCTCTGCCACAGTAGGCTGGGGGTATGCAAGGCCTTCAGCATCGGAGAGATGCATGGATGGGACCGTTTTCTCCCTTCTGGTCCTCTGAAGGGCGGGACCTCATTCTGTGGGTCCCTCTTCACTCTTTCTCTCCTCCCAGAAGGACAAGGTGTGACTCTCACTCCTACTGGAAAGGGGCCCTTCCTTGGGACAGGTGATGTCTGGCCCGGAATCAGGACGTGATGGAAAATGAGAGTGGGCCCTGGTCAGGATGCCTGGTGGGAGAAAGGTGTGTGGAAGGGCTGCTGGGAGGCTGGGGAAGGAGCAGCTAAGACAGGACTGTCCAGCCTAGGTCCCCAGGAGGGAGGAACAGGAGCCCCGCGAAGCAGCGCCCCCTCCTGGCCCCAGGGCTGCAGGGGAGGGCGCTCAGGCACACTGGAGAGGAGGATTGCAGAGCCGCGCATCTGTTTCTCTGCAATTATTTATCCCAGGGCCTCCTTCCAGCTGTATAATTTCTCAGAGAAGACACTAAACAGGCAGTGAGCGGGTCTTGAGGCCAGGCAGGGAAATTGCTGCGGGACCCTGGCCAAGTCCTGTCTCTGCGTGGGGCCCTTAGTTTCATCACCTGTAATTAGAAAAACACCGTCTTTGCCTTCTAGACAGGGCAGAGTGAATCTGGGGCCTGATAAGAGGCTTCCAACCTCTCCCTGGCCAAACACAGCAGGAAGCAGCTGAGGCGGAAGAGAGATCTGAATGTCACTGCATGTATACTTGTACTTCTGGGTGGGAGGACCCCTGCAGTCTCCGAAATTCCCCAGGACTGTTTAGTGGTGCAGCCCCTCAGAGGACACAGAGGCTGGGCCATGGCCAGGTCTCCTTGAGCTTGGTACCTTCCTCCAGGAGTCCTGCACCCATGGTGCTGGACTGGAGTACCAGAGGAGCCAGAGGCCAAGGAAGCGTCATTCATCCTTCACGGGCCAGAGATTCCAGGAAAGCTTAACCTCGTTGTACCATGAGTCTTTGACCCCAAGACACCCCCATCTGATGAGCCAGCTGCCCTCCTTCCCTTTCCCAGGGGCCCTGCCAGCACCTGCTCCAGATGGCCTCCAACCCCACTGTCCTACGCAGTCCATGACGTCAGAGTTCATTCCTCCTTTCCCCTGCTTGCCAAAAAGAAAAGACAGGTCCTCCACAAATAGGCTCAGTTCCCTGGGGGAATCAACAGCTCTCCATCTGGCTGTCAACGGGCAGGTGAGTGGGGCAGGGACTGAGGCCTCAGCCCTGAGAAAGTGAGCAGGGTAGTGAGCAAGAGGGCCTCCCCAGCAGAAAAGAGCTCAGCACCCCAACCTCAGCTCAGAGCCTGCACCAGATGTTTGCAGAGCAAACGGATCTGCTGCCAAATTCTTGCCCTGGGGACAAGAGATTGTCTTGGCTAGACTCTGGTAAAATGTTGGTCATACGGAGCTTTTCCAAGCAGTGAGCCACTCTTTTCCTGCTCCGGGGGTCCCTGCAGTGAGCCCACCTTCTTGGTCTGTACCTGGAGGAGAATGTCTATTGTCTGGTCTTGAAGACCTTGTTTCGGATTTGAAAGTGGCCACAGTCTCCCAGGAGAA